CTCTAGGGAAACAGCTACCTCATCTGCGGCTGGATTGCAGCCACCACCACCCATGTTGTCAGGGTCTGTATCGGGGCCTGCGGACCATCTGCAGCCCTCAATGCTGCCTCAGTCGACCCAGTATGTGCCACGCCTGCAGCATCCACTGTCCCCTGCCCATCTACACATGGCATCTCCAGCAGCTGCTAGTTGTATACCTCCCTACTCCCAGTCAGTGCCAGCTCAACCATGTGGTCACGCCTGTCCTCGCTTTACACTGGGCAGGGGACGTGACGAGGTACCAATCTTTTGTGGTGAGACGCCTGCCTCCCAAGGCATTCAGCGGAGTCAGGAGCTGGAGTCTTGGATATCCAGCATCGAGCTTTCGACTCAGCCTGCCACCTCCAAGGCTTACATCTGCATGGCACGTAGCAGGATAAGCAGATATGCCTGGTCAGTGCTGAACAGTCCTGTGTTCGCCAACATCCAGGACTGGGTGAGTTTCAAGGCTCGACTCCGGGACCAGTTCCGTGGTGTGGCCACGGCTCAGCACTTGTACGATATGCATGGCCAAGCAAGGATGGCAGTAGGTCAGGGGCCACTGGACTTCGTTCATGCAGTGGAACTGGCAGTGGAGCAAGGTGTGTGTGACTATCCCAAAGACATCGGAAATACTGAAGGCCTGATGCAGCGCACCTTCCGGGAAGGACTGCCTGGTTGGCTTCGGGGTCAGCTGCTCTGGCACGACTTCTCCACACGCAAGATGGCCGAGAAGTGCCAGGCTGTCTGGGACTGTGGTTGGGGCGAGACACACCCTGCCTGATGTTCACGGGCTCCTGAGGATGGGATGGTCATCGAGTTTATGGCCACCCCAGCCTAGCATACGTGACAGGATGGCCCTGGGCTTGTACCACCCAGGGTAGTATCCTGATGCAACCACACCTGGCCTGGAGTTCTACGGGGCCCTTCTACCACAAACGGCGCTGGTTGGTGGGACACCTGCGTCTGCTGTTCCTGACAGGTTCACAGCCAGCTCGAACCCCTACCGCGGGCGGCCGTGCTAGCACACCGGGAGCTGAACAGCCAGCCAAGAACTAGGTTCATTGGACGGCCCATGATAGTCCTTGAGGTGGAGGGTGAGCCGTTTTCCTGCTTTTTGGACACAGGCTCAGAGGTGACGATGGTCATAACCGGATTCCAACTTTATTACATTCGGTTGACTCCTGTCTATTATCTTACTCTCATTGATCGTAACCAATTAGCAATCAGCACCTCTTTGGAAATCCGTCATCCATGTTCCAGATTAAAACTAAAATCATTGTAATACATTCATACCACGTACATACAGCTAGCATGCCCACTGTCACGTGTTCTATTGTGTCAGTCTTATCAGTTATCTTGAGTTTTACTTTTTATTATAACTCCTGTATTAATCTGGTGATAACAGCATGTTTCATGTTAAGTTATCCTGAAGCATATAAAGATATCTGGAGAGAGAGAGAGAGAGAGAGAGAGAGAGAGAGAGAGAGAGAGAGAGAGAGAGAGAGAGAGAGAGAGAGAGAGAGAGCTTGTAGAGGGAGATAAACAAAGGTTTTTGTCGAGGGGCTTAAGAATAAAAGGGTCTGATTAAGTAAAAACAACTGGCCACATTACTAGATTTAAACTTACCATTAACTACCATAAAGTTAACGGCACAACTTTAAATTAACTTTACTTCATACAAGATTTCGTACATAAAGGCGCTTTCATAACCGTGCTTATTTTGAAATTTAAGTTTTGCCACTGAATTGTGCCACTGGCAGTTTCTTTTAATGTAAGTGAAGAAACACTGAATAAATTGTTCTTAACATTAGTTTTCTTAATGTTGGGATTATCTAAAATACATAGAGTTAAGCGTTCTATTTCATACACCGACTTAAAACATGATTTTGTCATGCCCATGCATTCACTTGGCACCGATCAGCAAACCTTGCTAGGCTAACGGCCAAGTGAACGATTCCTTGGGTGTTGACCAACACGTTCCTAGCCTAACAGACCAACCGG